TAATATGACTATTCACTTTATTGTGAAATTAAAACAAAACGGTAAAGGAAAATACAGTTTCAGTCTCTCAATGTGAAGCTTATGCATTGTACCATAAACTTGTATAGACCTGTAACAGTCAACTGCACGAGGAGTTGGAAAGGTAGTTCAGAAAATCAGTAATATCTTTAAAAACTACAAAAAAATCACTTTCTATCAGCTGTGCACCGTTATGGTGTAAATACAGACTATCTACTTATTGGATCAAATATAAAAGTCAGCCGAATTAGTGTTGATACTGCAAGGAGACGTATTGTATGAAAATAAATGGAAGGTGTTGTTTAATTGTTGATATTTTATGGTCCACGTCACGTATTCAGTTTTGGCGGCATCTCTTCCAGTTTGTCAAAAGGTCTTCTGATCAGGGCTCTATAAATACATATCTACGGCAGATATGTAATATTTAATGCAGTCGAACCGTGTATTACAATGCCGTTATGTGATGACTTTCAAAGAGAAAAGTAAGAACACTCGGAATAAAGTATTATTATTTTTTTTTTAAATGTTTTCCGATTTCCCGACGTGCATTGCGGCGTGATTTTAGCCTATCAAAACCTCTGAAAAAAGAAATGTGTCTCTCAGAATCGAAAGAGAAAACCCTATGAGAAAAACACAAAAGCATTGTACACAATTTAAACCAATTAATGTCGTATAATTAACTAGGATAAACTGATGTTTTTTAGTGGATGAGTACTGCAGATATCACTGTTAAATCATTTGATCATTGGTTTTATTATGAAAACGTCGAGACCGGAAATACTGTTTTCAACCCGTAACTTTACATGGAAGCTTGCCGCATATACACGTTCTCCTGACGAAACCTCAAATCATCTTCGTAATATCTATCAAACTATAGATCCTACATAACGACTGGACGTGGATTCTAAAAGTACAATATATACTTCTCGCTAGAAATCTAATCATAAAGCGTTTTAATGGCCAAACTATCCTACAATTTAGGATTTTACAGAGATGGTTATTTGTGAATAAACGACCATCTGTAACGTTTGCATTCAACGGGAGCACTAGAGGCCGACAACTTTAAAACGTAATTATAGGTCGTATTAAGCGCTTGAACAAACGACATATTTGGTCGTAATAAGGGCTTAAACAATCGACCCATTTGGTCGTATGAGTTGGAGGACTTGTTGCAGCGGCTCCTTATGGGTATTGCAATATTTGAAGGGCTGGAGCGGGGTTCCGGTGCTCTCTGAGCACTCCTTTCAGACGAGACATATACCACGTGAAGACACGTTACGCTCGTGTTGTGTTCAAGGAACCTGTCCTTGGCCAGGAAAAACAGGTTGCTTGTTTAATTATTTTTGCGGTCTAGATTTCTTCTTCTTTTTTGAAATGAGAAGTTATCCGTCAATCGGACTGACGGACTGACGGACGGACGGACTCCCCCCCCCCCCCCCCCCCAAAACTCTTCGGTTCTCCACGAATTACACAAGTCACCCAAATCAGCGTTAAAAAAGCGGGAGGCGCCGAAAAATCCCCTATTAATTTATTGATTATAGCTCCGGGTCCGTATAGGTCGGCGTCTGGGTCCGGATCCGGACCGCGGAACGCCTGTTGCCGACCCCTGCAGACCGACAATTTTTTGGAGCTGGAAGTGAACCGGATTCCGGAGCTAAGAGCCGGCGCCGCTGCGGTGTGAACAGGAAAAACCGGCGCTTTTCAGGCTCCAGCTCCGAGCCGGAGCTGAAAAAGCGCTGGTGTGAAAGGGGCAATAGTATCTGCCTGGGTGGGGCACTATGAAATCTGTGGTAGATAGATGCAACACCAGAATGCACTCTATTGAGTTGAGTTTGCCTACACTGAAAATACTGAAACGATGATTTAATTAAATGTATTATATCAACAAATTAAGTTGAACCTAATATTTTTTATTTAAACTTAATATTATTGCATAATTATTAAAGCAATAATATAACCTTATGTCAAATCTGTTGGCATAATACATTTAATTAAAGTCAATGTTTCAGTTTTTTCAGTGTACCATAAGAACATATCATGATGATGTGATATTTAGTTTTGTTGCATTGTTGTGAGCTTTGTTTATTAACTGCTAGCCCAGCCAACGCTCCCTGACCTTTACGGCTGAGATATTTAACTAGTATTATTTCCAGAGTTTCATGCGTTTTCCTCTTTGGAGCCTTTTCTCGACTAATTTGCCTCATTTAAGTTCTCTTTATTGGAGCAGGAACTCATGAGACAATCAATAAAAAGAACACACAATAATAAGTTTGAACAAATAGTTAGCCTTCTTAGTTGTTATGGATTTATTTTCAGAGGTCCTCTTGAGGGCTTTTCTGCAGCCACATGTATGACCTACAATCGTGTCTTTGTGGTAAAGAGATTCATCAGAAGAGCTGAAAACAATGTGTCCATCAAGCATTTTCTGAACATTGGTGTGTTGCTTAATGCTTAGTGAGAACAGAGAAAATTGGTTCAGCTAAAGCAGCACTCTGAGTTGTAGATTTGTAGCTACTGTCTTTTTTGGGAGCACCAGAGGGGAGTACATCACAATAATCTACTGCCTGTTGGTGATGACAGCATCCATTAGTCTTTCACAGTTCTCTGGAGAGAGACATTACCTGACCTTGGTGTATTTCAAATGTGAGAGAAAGCAGTTTGGCGACGTCTGTATTGCTCTGACCTCACATCAATAACCCAGTTTTTTACGATACGAAGCATCAGCAGATTTAAACTTCACTGTTGGACAAAGTACACCTTCTAGTAAGTAATAATATTAATGATAATAATGATTACTTAAACAACACATATCAGGATGTGAAATGATGGAAGATGCTCTGTCAGGTGAAACTAAAGCTGCAGGTAGTGCTGAAATGCTCCCTAACCGTGTAGACTTTTCATTGGGTGTAATTAGAGAGTTGTTGTACGCCACATTAGAGGCTTTGGTGACAAATGACTTAACGAGCTACACAGGGAGTCCTAATTATTCTCCAATTAGAAAAGTAATTATGGGTTACTCCAATGGCTGGCTTGCTAGTTGGCTAGCAGTGCAAGGGTGCAGAGACAAAGTAAGCATCACAATTAGATGGCAGCTAATCTGTCACACATGGAGTTGCAAAGACCTCTGATCACAGCCTCACTTCTTAGTTTAAGGGCCAGACTGGATGGAGTTAAGGCTCTGAGTTTCTAATCCATCACTGTGTACCTAAAACAAATTACAACCAGTGTCCAGACCTCTGCTGTTCTTAAACACCAGTCCAGCAGGTAATGGTTTATAATTGTAATCCCCTCAGCCCCTTAAGAGAAATATACCTTATTAAGTTGCTGCACAAATGTACAATAGGTACTTTAAGATCAGCTCATTGAGGTCTAGAGAAGGTAAGAATGAGAGGATACCATGGGCTTTTATTTAACATCAAACCAATATGATCATGTAAGAGAAGTGCAGTCAGAGGGCGTGTTAATCTGTCCTGCAGCAACAGTTCCTTCAAAAGTCATTTATCAATATTGTTGCTGTTTGTAACCCTACAATAAACCTGTGTTGAGTTACAATGGAGTTTCCTTAAGACAGGACCCAAGTCAATATTTTCCTCATTCATTTTGTGTGATTACCCGTAGATTAATTTCAGATTTTGCATGTTCCCCCGACTTACTGTGTACTGACTGAAAGAATCAATTAAATGCTCTCTTTTCATTTATTGGATTTAATGCATTGGAAGTGTCATGTCTGAACTCTGTCTTTCTTTACCAATAATAAGATACAAATTACAATAATTTCCCTGACAATCCAGTACAGTACAGTATACTTAAAGTGCAATTAAACAAAAATGTTGTAACGTTAATTTATTACTCAATTGTGCCTTTTATTTTGTAAGTTTTGATATTTATAATTTTAAAACATCCTGCCTTTTCACTAGTGATGTTACTGATGATGTCAACATCAACGTTTTCAGAATCTTTGGGGAATACAAATCAAAGCCTGTATAGTGCGGTTCCAATGCTTCTGTGTAGATCATTGTTGACCAGCTTTGAGTAAAATATATAAAAAAACTTCAAATTAATAAACCACCCCTAGGTCCTCGACTGTTTTTGGACATACACTTTTGCTTCATCATATTTTCTAGTTTTAAGTTGAATATTTCAACAGATTTGGTGCAAACTATCCAGGTTATGGGTATGCTGTATGTGTGTGATGCAATATGTGCAATCATCGCTTCAGCCAGAGTTAGTGTAGGGTCAGCTTGATAGCACCATATTATTGGTATGTTTCTATATTTACAAAATACATTTGTTCTTAAAAAATAATTGATATGCATATCAACACCTTGAACAGTTTTTATGATGAAGATCCCCCTGGTCTCACTTGAACATTTTAACATTTGACTGCCTCAGAAGAAAATAATCTACAAAATAATAAAGCCTTTTGTTTATGGGTCAGTGTGCGTAGGTGTGTGTGTGCCGTGCTTACAGACAGTGTAGGGCCCCATGCACTATAGTGCTATGTTTTAGTAATGAGGCTCTCGTGCCAGGGAGAGGGCGTAGTATAACTATCCCCTCCCTGAGCTCTATATGACCCCCCCAGCCTACTCTGCCTTTAACCATTCATTTTTAAATTGGTATCCATATACTCACCAGAGTTTAGAAACACTCTGCATGCATGATATGACTCTCAAAAGGAGATTTGCAACAGATCTTTATATTTTCATGAGCCAGGTCGCAAGTTGAGAGGCATTAAACCATCAATATCTAAAATCAAGAGCTCTTGGCAATGCCTTCCCTTACCATCTTATTTAAGTTCATATTTGTAGGTGCAGGCGTGTGGCCGTATATAAGTATGTCAATGCATTTGTGTGAGTATATACTGTCCGCAAACCTTTAAAAATAGTTATATTTTCGAATGTGTTAGCAATTACAAAAAATGACATAAAAAAAGAGAAGTAAAGCAACACAGCTGACATAAAGACAATCGGGACTCCAACACATTTGGGATCAGACTTTTAATTGGACTTAAATTCACATAAATAACATTGGTTCATATATATTTTGTATATTATACAACTTTATATAATATATATTTCCCCCTATGATTTACATTCCTCTCTGGCTAAAAGTATCTCTCATATCTACGGAAACAGACAGCCTTGCATAAATGCAACGCTGCTATTTTTGTGCTGTTTATCAAGGTCCAAGTGCCAAAAGGAGAGGAGCGTGTTTCTCATGAGTTGTAAAAAATAATTACCCAAGTTACACAGACAAAAAGCAAAAAGGAGAATCTATTGTATTGTCTCTAGGGTATTACACTGCACTACAAGGAGTGGGTAGCTATTGAAAATCATTCACCGTATATATTTTTACTGTATTGACTTGTGACACAAAGAAAGAAAGAGCACTGCAAAATATCTGAGATGCATGGCAATGAACATTTCGTTTTTGAGTGTTCTTGTCATGGTTTATTTTTTGAAAAATAAAAGAAAACGTATGCTGTACGCAAGATAAGAAACCCCATCATGAAGATAAGGAAAGATTGATGAACCTGCAGCAAGGTCACATAATCATGCAGTGACCCAGCCAAACACACTTGCACAGATTAGTTGAGCTTGTCTGGATCACAAATCAGCATTTGGCCGTTTCGAGTCTGTGACCGACATTATTCAACACAATGGGTGGATATTTGGAAGTCAGGTAACATCTACTAATCTCCCTGACAGAAAAAAAGAACTCTCTTTTCATACTGGAGCTCTTCCTGCCTTTGACCAGTGGATTATCTCTGTTGCCTGTAGCGCTTATAACATCAATACCTCCATCACACAGTAACCTTAAATGACCACTGCAGAATAAAAGCTGCACTATGACATGTCAGATTTTCACTACTTTTCTATTGCTTTGAGTTTTACATCACTTGGTCTTTTGCTTGAACGTATCATATGGTAACTAGCATATGATTGAAATCAGTGTGTTTGCCTGTTTTTTCAAGTTGAACAAATCATATTCTGTCAACACAAATGTTACATGACTTTAGACAGCATGTATGTAGTGATGCATAAAACAGTGTAAATGGCCAGTAGGTGTCAAATCTTTGAGACGCTGGTACAATATGTAACACACCTGCTTTTTGTCAACCCAACCTCAATTGTCTCAATCCTGTTTCATGCTACACAATCACTTACATCTGCATTAACTGTGGTACACATTTGATTGTCTGAATCAAAGACACTACCTGAATGCCAAGCCAGAAAGAAACCACACTGTGCCTTTGAATCCAAATAAAAAGTATGTTCCAACTTCAGCTGCTATCTGAAAAGTGAACAATAACCAAAAGAGGTCAAGTCTATTGTAAGCGACAAGTCATGACTGATGAAAAACAAGATTTAGTGGACTTTAAGCTCCTTAAGTTACCCAGTGAAGTGGTGTAGGATCCTACAATGTTTCATGCATTTATCACAATAAAGCCAACCTAAACGAAACATGACGTGTAGGATTGTGTGTGCATGTGTGTTAACAAATCACAGAGGAAAACACAATCATGCCATGACATTGCGACAGACAGCAAGTTAAGTGTTAACCCCATCCTTCCCTGAATAGTCAAAAACAAAGTGACGTTTTTTTTTTTAACAGTTATTAGTTTATCATTTCATCATGATAAAAAAGCATAAACATCACCATAATCATATCCCTTTTCTAAACAAGATAAAGTTAGTATATGCTATCCAAAAGAGCCATGGGGAGGGAAAGTCACGGGTTGTGTTTAAAGTGTTCAAAGCACAGTGAAAAAACATTTAAGGGGTTTCTGTTTAAGGACATCAAGGTTAATATAATATTTTGAAAAGTGCTTTATTAGAATACACTTATTTATGGGTAATATTCAATAACCATCAATAACTCTTGATCATAAATATATGTATTTTTTAAATATGATATTAAATGAAAAAAATGGATGATGTTGATTTTTTCATAGTGAACACAACCAGCAGATGTGAAAGTTGTTTCTTTCCCTCCCCATTACATCCCTGTCACGCAGTTCCATCTACTTTAACAATCATAGAGGGGAAATAGTGTCAATGAAAAAGTGCATCATTAATATGTTGAGATTAATTATAAACCATATTTTTTGTCATAAATAACACTTTTTCCTCTAATATTCAATAAACCTCTTATTTTACAAGATGAGTAGTCACATGATGCAAATCTGCCCCCTACGATCATATCAATGTCTGGGAACAACGTTAATACTTCCTGAAACTTAGGAAGCTACAGCCGGCAACACAAACCAGACTGCGGTGTCAAATATAGGAGAAAGATCAAGGAAAAGACTTAAGCAATGACCACTTAAAGCTACTAAGGGGTACAACACATAAACAGTGATGCGGTGCATCTCAAAACGTGCCCAGCTAGCTTGTAGTTGTGTTAGCATGATGGTAGCATATACTTCACACAATAAAGCTGACTCAAAAAGGCACATCAACATCTAAAGGAAGAAATGTTTCAGAAAAATGCTTATAAGCTTTCTTGTTGAAAGTTAGATAATACCACTCATGTTTCATTATGCTAAATATGAAGCTAAGGCCAACAAGCTGTTAGCTTAGCCTAGAACAAAGATGGAATAACAAGTAGCTTAGCTCTGTCCAAAGGCAATAACCCCCGTACTGCAGCACGTGCAAAGCTTGGGAATTAATATGTTCTATGAATTTTTTTTTACTTTTGTAAATTTTTCACTGTAGTTTTACACAAAGCTATGTGCTGGAATTACTAGACAGGAACAGCCTTTATGCTACGCTAAACTAAGAAAACTGCTAGGTCTAGCCTCATAAATACACAGATGAGTGGTTGTGATCTTTTAGATCTAACTCTTGAGCAAGAAAACTTCAAACGACTCCTAAAGCCACTTATTTGTTTAAAATTAAATATATCTTTTTGTCAAATTTAGTTCACATGACATGTCACATCCATAGGTCACATCACCTTGTTAAAGGTGGGGTAGGTAAGTTTGAGAAACCGGCTCGAGATACACTTTTTGTTATATTCCATGGAACGCTCTTAACATCCCGATAGCAATGAATATCTTAAGTGCTTTGACAAAAAATCCATACAAAAACGTCATCTGTGGAAGCCGTAGTACTGTAAAAAGCACGACCAATCATTTGAGCCGGCCCGGCTAAAATAACTGGATGGCCTACCTGCCTGTCAGCCTTCCATCTGTGCACAAACTTATCTCGTGCCCTCATTGGTCATGTGCGCGTTTGTGTGTGTTGGAGGAGGGGCTCTCTAAGGAAGTGGCAGATTTTTTCCGGCTGTGTATTTTCTAATTCTAGCGCACTCGAGCTGGTTTCTCCAAAATTACTTACCCCACCTTTAAGAAACAAAAATTGACATTTGGAATAAAGATTTAATATCTGTAGTCAGAGGAAGAATCACTCAATCACATTTTTTTACCTCTGCATTGTTGAGCTTCCTTTTTTGTAATTTAATGCATAGGAGACATTATTTCACTATTCACATGTTGTAACTTTAAATGGCTGATGTGAACCGTCCCTCCTTGATCATCTGCCTAAGGGTCGCATCGGGAGGAAGATAGATCAAAAAGGGAGACCTTAAATGGTCATAAACCCAGATGTCCATCCCTGCCCTCACCTATTCCAGGGCATCTTGTGAATTGTAGTTCTACTAGCATTTGTAGTCAAGAGACCTTGTTCCTATTCACTGATGGATTTGCAAAGCTTTGGATAGCCACAAACTAACAGGACTGACATTTTTCCAGACTGGTGTGCATATCTCCAACACTTTCTAAACTCATAAGAAAGTAACTGGTCCTCTCTTAAAGCAGAGGATACAGCAGAGCACTGTCAATGTCCCTAGGCCTGAGTGGACTTTCTGCTCGGCCATTCATGGGCTTTTCTCAGTGGCAGCTCTTCAGCCCAGTCAAGTATGGTGACTCTTGTCGGCACAGGCCCATCTGCTGCTGTTGCTGCTCTTGAAGATCGGAGGCCAAACCATCGACAAAGTCGGGGACGGGTAGCCCTGAGAGAATCATGACTGACTTGTTCCAGATCATGAAACTGGGAACAACGGGCAGGAGGAAGGAGACCTCAAAGGTGTGAATGTGCTGGGAGTTCATGGCATCATGGAAGGACAGTGAATTGTTGTCGTAGTCCAGCAGGACACCCAGCCGCCTCAGCTGCAGGCTTGCCTCCACCAGCATCTCCTTGCCATCGTGGCGCACCATAAAGTTGTTGTTGCAGCGCGAGAACACCCATGAGGATGAGTTCTTGCCGCTCCACTCGTTTTTCGGAGCTGATTTGTAAGCTACGCCGATGGCATACCTGCAGGGAAGGAACATTTTGGAATGCATTAGTGATCTGAAACTAGTGTCCTCCTTAATGACTCTACTTGCACAGTCAAGCTACCTCATGCTGAGGACACACAAGATCGGCACAGGCCCTTTGGGTGTTTCCTGCATGAAGAGGTCTACTTCAGAGCCAATTAGTGAAAGAACACAAATAGGCTAAGAGTATACACTGTGTGTGGTGAGTGTGTCTGTTGAAAGTGGGTTTGCATAACAGCCTAGATTTAAACTCCCATAAGAAAAATATTTCGGTTTATTGAGTCTCATTGCAGGCTTTTTTTCTTACCATGTGGACGCTCCAAGCAGCACCTCCCAGTAGTGGCACCCGCTGTCAATGAAGACATTACCAGCTGCCCCATAGGAGCCTGTGCTGCTGAAGCGCTCCGGGGTGTGGCTCTTCTTCAGCGAGCTCTCGTCCTTCTCCATGGTCAGACAGTCGTTGGACAGACGCAGCTTCTTGTGGGCAGTCTTTGGGTCCAACTTGAAGGGTTGACCTGTGAAAAGACAATCATTTTGAGCTTTAAATGGTCTATTATTATTATTATTATTATTATTGTGTGTGGGTGTTTAATGTCGCCTGTTATAATGATAGTGATCACATTAACCTGATTACCTAAGATCCTAAATGTAATTATTTTTGGGCAAAATGGCAACCTACATCTAGAGTCAGAGTTCACAAAAAATAACATGAACATACATGGAGACCAAAAGTGATTAACAATCACTACATTAAGAATAATATATCAAAAGGAAATGAGTTACTTAGATCCAGGCTAATACAACTCCATGCCTTCGCTTAGACACAAGTAGTTTCCATTCTTTTGAATCGCGTTATGGGATATCCCAGTACAGAAGAAGTTAGCATCTGGCATTGTTATGCAAGTTTAAGTTTTAAGTTGCCTTGGCTCTAGAAATATTTTTAGCTACAAAACTTTTTTAATTATTTAACAAAAACCCAATGCAAAAATGTGAAATCTAACATGATTAAAAAATGTTGTTCCCCGCCAATATCGTCAAGATACAACAAGGTCAAAAGGTGAGCAGAAAGAAAGAATACAAATTAGAACAGCATATTAACTGAGAGAGACAGCAAAAGACAAAAATAAATAGAAAGTAGTGCTTGCAGAGAACTCACAAAGGGAGAGAGAGACAGAAGTAGAGAATGTTCGAAATACAACGGCGAGAGTCTAAACTTCAAAGCCTATTGCAGCCTTTGGTGAAAACATTTCATAACAGCAGAGGAAGCCACCCGGCATTCTCCTTTGTGCCTACCATCACACAGACTTGGAAATTAGCTGAAGGAAATAGCCTTCACTTCCACTGCAGTAAGGAGCCGTCGTGGCTATTCAGTGGAAATGCTGATAACTGGTTGCAACTATTCAATTTGCACTGACACCAGTAATTTGGATGTAATGGGTGGAAAATTGAGAGGGCAAAAGTAGGTGAGTGGCAGAGGGAGAGAGAGGAGTTAGGGAGTGAGAAGGAGAGGAGAAGTTGAGGGGATAATATGAGGCCAAAGATTGGGCACACCTCTCCTCCTCTCCATGTCCGTAATCTGTGTGAATGTGGGCTTCATGGAGGTCAGCCACGTCCCATCCAGGCCTGACATTTCACTGTGACACCTCTCATCTCATCTCTCAGCCCCCCCCGAGCCTCCCACAGCTTAATGAGCGACACAATGAGGACCCCGACTCCTCCTCTCTTCCCTCTATCTGTCCTTCCCTTCATCTCTTCCCCCATTCTCTCATTTCATCCTCTCTATCCTCTCTCCTCTCTCACACACTCTCCTCCAATAATCTGTGTGGTGAGTGTGTGTTACCGCGTGTGGATATGAGACGACGAGGCCAATGTGCTGCTGGCAGCCAATTACATTAATGCGCTCTCTTCTTTGAACTGCTTATCGCTGCCAGCGCAGCCATTTCCAAACACTGGGGCTCTGTCATGCCTTTCCAGGGGATGACTCCTGAGAGCCGGGGCCGGGCCCGAGGTTGGGGAAGGGGAGACACACGTGACGGTAGAGGACAAGGGGGCATACACAGAGCATCAACTCCGACCTACACACAAGCAGAAATACAGTAAGAGTCCAAGTGGAAATGTTTTGAATGCCAGCAGGAAGCTCAGATTTAAAATATTCATTTTCCGTATGACAGAATACATTTGTTGGTACGAGGCTGGTAGGGTGCTCAAAAATGAAACTGAATTTGGAGGTTTGCACAGGAAAAATGGCAAGTGGACTGCTAAAAGAACTCTTGCACTCGGTTTAAATTGCCATAGTGTTGGAAAGATGGAAAATTACCTTTTTTCAAACTTTCTTACAACCTTGAATGCATAATTGTCTGCAACTGCACATATATACATGCTCAATCCCGTACTGTCAGATTGTAGACTACAGAAAATAAAGACACAACAAGATAACAAAAGAATATATCTCACAGAATGGATTCCTTGGCAGTGACTGTCTTTAGTCTGTTCAGACTCTGCAATAAAGTAGCAATTAGAGATGTATCCAAATGTCTGCTAAGGTGATAAGTGCTCCCTGTTTAACTGCCTTGAAGCTGGGCATTGTTACGAAATGGGAAGTCTTTAATGGAAACTTGTAAAACACAAAAAAAGAAAGAAAAGAAGAGGGGGGAAATAAAAGGAAGTACCGTCTGGAGGACATTGATATAAAGCAATTTCATTCCAACTTCATTTCTCAGAGTCCTTGTTGGAATACTGGGATAGCATCTGGCTAATCGACTTTATTTCAATTCAGTCAATTTCACTGCTTTTCTTTTTTCCCTGGCTCCCACATTTTAGCTGGGAGAGATTGAGCTGCCTCTGTAATGAGGGAGATAGAAAAAAGGGATCCCATTTTACTGCATAACTAAACAATTACTGCAGTAGAAGCAGCAGCATCAGGGACTTCTCTAAAGCTCCAAAACAACCTTATAACTTTTCACAGGTCTCAACATCTCTGTTGAACTTACAGATCCTTCCCGGCATTAAAATGCATGGCTGCACGTCACTTGGCTTCTAATTGACTGAATCATATGTAATGTGGTATTTAATCCTACAGTGCTGACTACTGTACAAAAACACAGATTTACACTGGTGAGATTACAAATTAATCCACCATGTAACATGGCTATAGCACAGCAGGCATTCATGACAGTGTGTTTTACTTGGTTTAACACAACCATAACAACTGCAATTGTCTTTGTGTGGTAAAGAGCATAGACAAACAGCAATCACTGATCTTCTCCGACTTCACCCTTTAATGAACTCGGCAGAGTCTTCAGAGACCAGTGCTAGAAAATAAAAAGTTCAGTAAGGCTTCTGGGTCTGCTAAGAAATTCACTCAGTGATTAAGGAGCCGTTTTTGGAAGGAAAGTTTGATGCTACTTTGTACATCTACTCCACTACAGTTCAGAGGTAAAAGGTGTACTTTTACTCCATTACATGTATTTAATACCTTTTAGTTACTTTACAGATCTGGATTAATGATCAATCATTCACTAAAACTCTGCTTGTTTTTTAATGACACATGTCTTTTTGTACTCCTTTATCATTACACGTGTTCTTACTGTTTTGCAGATAAAAAGGGCTTTAATGCATTATAAAATAATATCAAGGGTAGCTTGGTGAGGTGCACTGCCCACAATCTGTCTTGGAGAAAAATGAACAAATACAAAAATATTGAATGAAAACAACAACCTCCCCGCCAACTGGCATTTTCACCCGCTCGGTAGATGAAGGAAGGCACTTTGGGCCATTCAACAAATCAGAAAATCCAAGAGTTCCTACATTATTGAGATTATGAAACCAAAAGGAGCTGTTTTTTTTAAATTAGTACAGCAGGACCTATCTATGCTTGACAAACGAACATTTTATAACCAGTTTATCTTTACTTCTCCACTCTTGCTCCTTTTGAAATACAGTTTGTCAACATCAATGTCCTCCATTTGACAGTAAACAAAGTCAGGAAACACAAGAAGACAGCAAAGGGAGTGACATGCCTTGTGATGACACAGTGTGCATCATATACCACTATTTCATGAGACACCCCTCTCCTCGTCCTTTCTCTCATCTACCTTCGACTCGTCTCCACCTCCTAATATTTGCTTTAGGGCTGTGTGGCAGCTTGAGGACTGTCATCAGAGATGCGTGCTGGGTAAATATTATTGCAGGTTCTTTAACAGGAAGTAAAGAGGTACACAAACCCCTGGGGCACCTTGACAAGTGATGTTCTCTGTCTGGATTTGAGCTGCCTACACAATGCAGGGACTCATTTTCACACACGCACAAACACACTCTAGGCTGTTTGCCGACTCCCTGTTTCGTACACACAATATGGACGCCCAGAATAGTTATCCAACAGGATGACGGCCGTTATAAAGTCAACAGTCCAGTGTTTGACTGTCAGCATCGTACATTTTCAGATTAGCCTTTTGTTTTGACACTCACAATATGTTCACTCAAAATACTTCTCTTGTAAACAATAGAGCTGCTCAAAAAAAGACTAATTTAAGCCTGAATTGATGTGGTTGGTACTCCTACTTCACACCATCCTGCAGCTTTGTACAACAACATGACACAACTAGATGATTGATGTTGGCAGGCTTTACACTGTGGGACAGGTGCTACGAGGAGGCAGCTGGTCCTAGTGAAAGCACACAATCATACCTCAGCCGAGCCCGATTTGGCCCCTTTTTAAATGTATCATTCACATTTTAGGTAGATTAATCGAGGTTTTACCTCGCTGTTAAATGACATTTGAAAACCAAACAGCAGTGCATATAATCAACAAGTAAAAACAACCTTTCACAGGCTTTACTGAAACTCCAGAACATCTATAATAACAGTTGTTCCTGGCATGGATACATGTGCTGAATTTATAATTAAGGAAAACACATATTGTAGTTAAACTTCCACCTGTGCACGCAATCATTTCAGACACTATGAACAGTACAGACGGCTTCCTCTAACCAGACCTGTCACTGGCCTGCAGTCAGAATACTAAACACCAGAGGAGAGACACCACAGATGGACACCTCCTGCATGCTAATACTGACAAACAACTGTAGCAGTCTAAAAGCTGCTGATATGACAACGTTTACGTTTGAACCCTTTCCCCCCCCTCCTCAGTTAACAAACTGCTTTTCTCTCCCACTGCATATTTGTTTCTTGATGGTATAAATGAATTACTGAGACAGACAGCCAATTCAAAAGCACAAACGGGGCACAGTCTAATAAGAGCCGTCTTTATTAACGTGGGTCTATTGTTCTGTCAGCCGCCACTCTAATGAATTGTAACCAAACTTGGATGCAACCCTAATTCAATTGTATGCTTATAAAAGCCTAAAATAAGTTGCTTTGGACAGAAGATGCGGCTTTCACTTTTTAATGTTAAATAACTGGATCCTTGGATTTGAATTAATTAGAAAGGCCACATTCATTTTGTTTTCAGTATAGTAGTTGCAAGTTGTAAAAAGGGTAAATGAGAGAAAAACAT